GAAGACACACTGAAGACCGCCAACCTAGGTGCCTGAGTCGTCTTACGTAACTTCCGCCCCTTCGCGCTCCTCCGGACGCCCCCTTTTCCCGGTCCATGTTTGTTTCCGGCGTTTCAATAAAGCTCGATTCGGCTCGAAGAAGACCCGTTCTTCCGGGAAAATGGCGACTCCCGCTCGTGCCCCGGAGTCGCCGCCGTCCGCGGATCCAGCGCCAGCTGAGGGGCCCGCTGAGGAAGCCGACTGCCCCGCGCCGCGCCAGCCTCAGCCCCCGCAGAATGTTCTCGTTGCCCCGCGGCTTCGAGCCCCAAGCTCCAGAGGACTTGGGGCAGCGGAGTTCGGCGGAGCTGGGGGAGATGTTGAAGCGCCAGGAGAGACTTTTGCGCAACGAGTAAGCTGGGGTCTCGCGGCGGCAGCGCCGTGCTCCTAGGGCTCGGGCTCTTTAGGATGCCCCCATTATCTTCCCGCGTTCTCTTAGGGCAAAGGTGACCTTGTCTCAGTTAGATCCATTTCAGTTCCAAGGACGAGTGGGTAGCCTGCGGCCGCAAGGCCACGCCATGACTCCTCCTGGCCAAGCACGTACCGCCTGCGAGGATGGCCCGTGTACTGAACGGCTGCTTGGCGTTTCAGCCAGCCAGCAGCTGTGCCTTGGTTTAATGTGCCCAGCTACTGTTTTGGCTCCATGAAAGGAGTGTCTGTATCACAAATCCCTTTGCCCTCCTCCCCACACCGTGACCCAGACGTGTTATCAGTTTCATCTTTAGATCTTACTCTTGCAGGATGGGAAGAGAAGGTTAAAAGTGGTTTATTAGGGCCGCGAAAGTTGTACTCATTCAGCTGGCAGACGGCGCATTTTAGCAGGGGAGCGATGTGATGGGGTGACTTTTTACAGGAAGCTTTTTTTAGTAGCTTGGTGCATGATGGTTTGAAGGATTAAGAGGCAGGGGACATCAGGAGAGTCTTTTCAGAAAGAGGTTTTCAACAAGGGGGTTGTAAGAAAGTGTATGAGGAAGATAGTTAAGCAGGATTGGGAAAACTTCAAGTGTGGAATAATTTAAATATGTAATTGATAGAAATAAATGAAGTTTCTCTTCTGTATAGGGAACCACTAACAAAAACATGAAAATTGAGGGAAAGGAATGGATTCAAGCAAGGTTCATTTTACTCAGGGTGTGCTGAGTTGAGGAGAGAGCATAACAGACATTTGATTAATTAAAAGGTGGAGAAGTGGTTATAACACTTAGGAGAAGGTTGGGAAAGCAGGACTCTCAGTTGCACAAAGGTGTTAATTTATACAGTTGAAATTGTGGGAATGTCATATCAGAGAAGGAGCAGCGAGAGTGTTAAAGATATAACATTCTGACCACACGACTAAAGACAGACTCAGAAGAGGAATTCAGCAAAAAGGACAAATAATCATTTGGGTTGAGGGCTTACCAGTAGAGACAGATATTTTGCCTTTTTGAGAAGGAGTTTTTAATGTATAGCAGTGAATTAGCTTTTTGATCCCTTTTGAACTCTTGAAAAAGTTATTGGGCATCCTAAAGAGCTCTTGTGTATGTGTATTATATCTACTGATACTTACTGATTTTTCAGAAATAATGGGGAGCTCCTTATGATACGTATACATAAAAACAAGTTCAATTCACACCATATACCCTCTGGAAAACTGCACTGTACTTGTGTGAGAAAGTTAGAGAAAGTATTATGAAAATAGTTTTGACCTTCCAGAGCAGTTCCCCTGCCCTTTGTTTTGGAAATCACACTTTTAAGAACCGCTGATTTTTGGAATGTCTTAAATGATTTTTGCACAGGTATCGATCGGATCCATTATCCTAAATGGGTGGGATCAGAAGTGTTTTGAATTTCAGATTTTTTTAGGTTTTGGAATATTTTATATATAAATAATGAGATATCTTTGGAATGGGACCAAGTCTGAGCATGAAATCCATGTTTCATACATGGTTTGTACAAATAACCTGAAGGTAATTTTATATAATATTTTTTATGCACCTGTGTTTTCACATGTGCATGAAAACCCATCATAACCCATCACATGTGATCAGGTTTTGGAATTTTCTACTGGTGGCATCATGTTATCAGTGCTCAGACAGTTTCAGATTTTGGAGCATTTTGGATTTTCAGAATAGGAATGAGTAATGTATATTCTTAAAATGCTTTTGTTGAAATTCTAATGAGATGAGACAAATGAGTCATATTCTGGCTGCATTTCCTTTTTTGGGGGTTAATTGTCTTTGTTTAATTCCCATTTGGGGCCAGTTAGAAATCAGATTTTTCACTTAAAAATTAGTTTTTTTCCCTTCGAGGTTAATGTTTTGCCTTTTAAATGAAAAATCACAAGTTTAAAAACAATACTCTAACATATACTTTTTTTTTTTTTGTATTTGACAGAAAATTCATTTGCAGATTGCCCGACAAAGGTAAAAAGATCTTAGACACTGTTGCCAAACTGAAAGCTGCCATTGCAGAGCGTGAAGAGGTTAGAGGAAAACGTGAACTGTTTCATTCTGCTAGTTTAGACTGTAAGCTAAGGCAAAAAGTAATTGCAGGAGTTGATGTGGATAGAGAAAAGGCCCAAAGTTCTGACCGAATACTTGATACTTCATCACCAGTTCATGCCTGTTCCTTTGTAGATAACATCAAATCATCTAACACAACCTCAGAAAAACAGGGACTTGTACATCCTACTCAAAAAGGTGATGAAGAGATTCCAGAGGCTGAGTACACAGTGAACAAGTGCCCAGCTTCCCACAATAGATTCAGGGGATCTTCCTCACTTGAAGCGAGAGAGCATCTCCCTCAGCATTGTGTTTCAAGTCAAGCAGAAGATACTTCCAGCAGTTTTGACAACCAGTTTATTGATAAGTTCCAAAGGATCACAGTTGCAGACCAAGGTATACATCACTCGGAAGAAAACACAAGTGCTGAAAACTTGATGGGCCTTCGTGATAGGACTCCTAAGAAGCCCCATTACATGGAAGTGTTAGAAATGCGAGCCAAAAATCCAGTGCCCCCACCACATAAATTTAAAACTAATGTGTAAGTATCATTGGAAATAGGCATATCATGGGAATGTAATATGTGTGAAATTCAAAAAGTTGGAAGAATGCTTTTAAGTTCAGTGGGCTTTATGTGAGTGCTCCTTTTAGGTAGGAATGAGTATATTTGTGGAAACAGTGAGACCAGCCTGGCTGGAGTGGAGGATTCCTGTTGAACCATACTTTAGTTTTGAAGCCAAAAAATTGAAAGGGTTTTAAGTAGCAGATGGAGACTATTATGTTTCAGAATTCTTAGCCAATATTTCATAATAAAACAGAATTGAAGAGAGGATTTAGTATGGCTTTTATTTTCGGTACCATTTTTTAGTGTACAGCTTCCCCTTCAATTGGTCTATAATCCAAGAGAAAAATAGTTGTAGGATTGATCGACTTTTTCAGTTATTTATTTGTGTGCTCACTATGCTCCTCAGAGCATTTAGGTTCTAGATGAGGACCTTAGGTTTATACACTTGTAAAGAAAATTAAATTATAACACAGTTTCTAGGGAAAGGGAGGCAAGAGGAGTTAAAAATTAAAAATACTTTAAAAAGTTGGGGAGGAGGGTTACAAACTCTGCTTCTGAGTTCTTTGTTGTAGTTTTGTTTCTGAGAGCTGCAGGAAAATAAAAGCTCTTTGAAGAGAAAAGAATTGTTCTTAAAGCAAATATAATACTTAAATCTCAGTAGTAATTGATACCAACCTAAATTTATGAGGATATAATTTCAGATGCAAAGTCAAGCTACTGTTTGCTACCTTTCATTGAAAAACTGAAAACACCTAGTTGAAAATACCTAAAACATTTTGGTGATTGTTAAAAAGAGACTTTAAGGTTTAATCCTACCATGTAATTCTTTTTAATTTAACCTCAAAACAGTTTTTTTTT